AAGTCAGGAGGGGAGAGGGAGAGAGGGAGAGCCAGACATTTGATGGATGGATGGATGGATAGATGATAGATAGATAGATAGATAGATAGATAGATAGATAGATAGATAGATAGATGATACAATGAGCCAGGGAGATAGACATAGACATAAAGATAGAGACAGAGAGAGATTGAAACAGACAGGAGAGGGGTAAAAAAAAAAAAGAGGGGCAGAGGGAGGAAGGAAGAGACAGAAAGGAGGGAAGAAGGGATGGACAGAGAGAGAGACAGAGAGAGCAAGATACAGAGATGGGGAAAGAAAGGAGGGGGAGAGAGAGACAGAAAGGGAGACAGTAGGGAGGGAGGAGAAGAGAGATAACAAAGAAAAGCAGACATATAGGTAACCACTGATACAGGGAGAAACAGATCACACTGCAAGACAGACAGCCCCAGAAGGATGAGGGACAAGGCCCAGTCTCCTCCTTCCTCCCAGGGGCTGCTAACCAGAGGGCACTTCAGTTACAGGCCAAAGTCCTCCCTGAAGGACAGAGAGGTGGGAGTCCAGGGGCCATGCCCAGCAGATCTGTGCACCCCTCTTCTTAATCCCATTGAAGGCACCCAGGACCCTGAATTTCCCACACAAGCTGCCCAAGCCCTGGTGTGTGCCATGCTAGCCTGGCAGGTGGCTGTTCATGGAGGGAGAGTGACTGAAACCTGGAGCTGGAGGATCCACACAGCTGGAAGGGGGGTTCCTGGGGAGGTTCCTCATGTGCACATGAGGCCTCTCGGGGTGCAGGATGAGTTGGGGGAAAGAGAAGAGAGCAGGCTGGGGACAGTCCACCACTTTCTAGCATTGATCTCTGAGGAGTCCAGTTCTAATTTCAACCTGGCTTCCAGAATGTTATACAGGTATGTTTTCTTAATTAGGTTATTTTAAAAATACATACATATACACATATACATACATATACGTATGTACACATATATGTACACACACACACACACACACACACACACACACACACACACTCTCTCTCTCTCTCTCTAGAGGCCCGGTGCATGAATTCGTGCACAGGTGGGGTCCCTCAGCCCGGCCGGCGATTGGGGCCAATCGGGGTAGTCTCACCCAGTCCCTATCAGAGAAATTGGGGCTGGTTGGCTGGCAGGGAGGGACTGTGGGAGGTTGGCCGGCCTGGGGAGGTTGGCTGTGGGAGCACTCTGACCACCAGGGGGCAGTTCCTGCATTAAGCGTCTGCCCCTTGGTGGTCAGTGCATGTCATAATGACTGGTTGACCGGTTGTTGGGTCGTTGGGTCACTTAGGCTTTTATATATATACTAGAGGCCTGGTGCACAAAAATTTGTGCACTCGGAGGTAGGGGGTCCCTCAGACCGGCCTGTTCCCTCTCGCAGTCTGGGACCCCTTGGGGGTGACCACCTGCTGGCTTAGGCCTGCTCCCCGGGGGATTGGGCCTAAGATGGCAATCAGACATCCCTCTGGCAGCCCGGCAGCCCTCGAAGGATGTCCACTTGCCAGCGGGGAGCAGGCCTAAACTGCAGTCGGACATCCTTAGCGCTGCTGAGGAGGCAGGACAGGTTCCCACCACCACCGCTGTACTGGCAGCCATCAGCCTGGCTTATGGCTGAGCAGAGCTCCTCCCATGTGAGAGCACCCTGACCACCAGGGGGCAGCTCCTGCATTGAGCGTCTGCCCCCTGGTGGTCAGTGTGTGTCATAGTGACCAGTCATTCCCAGTCTTTCTGCTGTTAGGGTCAGTTTGCTTATTACCCTTTTACTATATAGGATAGAGGCCTGGTGCACAGGTGGGGGCCAGCTGGTTTGCCCTGAAGGGTGTCCCAGATCAGAGTGGGGTCCCGCTTGGGTGCCTGGCCAGCCTGGATGAGGGGATGATGGCTGTTTTCAGCTGGTCGCACCCCCTTCAGGGTGGGGGTCCCCACTGGGGTGCCTGGCCAGTCTGGGTGAGGGGCTGAGGGCCGTTTTCAGGCTGGTGGGTGACTGAAGCTCCCAACCTCTCCTTTTTTCTTTTTTTTTTATTCTGGGATTTATTTACCTTCTATGGCTGTCACTGGAGCTGAGTCCCGGCTTTAGCTCTGAGGCTCGGCTCCAGCTCTGAGACCTCGGCTGCTGAAAGCAGGTATCTGGGTTTGTTTGGCTTCTATAATTGAAACACTGTTGCAGCTCCAGCTCTGACGGCTGAAAGCAGGTTTCTGGGGTTTGTTTAGCTTCTATAATTGCAACATTGTTTCTTAGAGTGCAAGCTCAGAGCCCAGCAGCGGCAGGCGGGGAACCTTGGCTTCCTCCTTCACAGGAGCAAGCAAGCCTCCTGTTCGCTTCAGCTGACTGGCTGCTGGCCGCCATCTTGGTTGGCAGTTAATTTGCATATCTCACTGATTAGCCAATGGGAAGGGTAGCGAAGTTATGGTTAATTACCATGTTTCTCTATTATTAGATAGGATAGATATATACACACATATGTGTGCATATATCCTATATAATAAAAGGCTAATACACAAATTGACCAAATGACAGAATGACTGGTTGCTATGATGTGCACTAACCAGAAGCCAGGCTCACGGCTGGCGAGTGCAGCGGTGGTGGCAGGAGCCTCTCCTGCCTCCACAGCAGTGCTAAGGATGTCTGACTGATGGTTTAGGCCCACTCCCTGCGTGGGCCTAAGTGGTCAGTTGGACATCCCCTGAGAGCTCATGAACTGCGAGAGGGTGCAGGCTGGACTGAGGGACCCCCCTTCCCTGAGTGCACAATTTTGTGCACTGGGCCTCTAGTATATATATTTATTGATTTCAGGGAGGAAGGGAGAGAGAGAGAGAGATAGAAACATCAATGATAAGAGAGAATCATTGATTGGCTGCCTCCTGTATGCCCCCCACTGGGGATTAAGCCCACAACTTGGGCATGTGCCCTGACTAGGAATCGAACTGTGACCTCCTGGTTCATAGGTCGACCCTCAACCACTAAGCCACACCGGCCGGGCTGTTAAGCAGGTTTATTCATCAAGGTCAGAAGAGTGGATGTGTTTTCTTTACAGTCTATTAGTTCCACATGTAACTTTTGACACAGGATTTGAGCTGTGACTTGCACTCACCCCAAAGGAGCCCCCAAGGTTAGGGCCCAGCCTGAGTGGGGCTGGGGGAGGGGAGCTTACCCGGCTGTCTTCATCTGACACCACAAGAGTAGCGCATCCTTGGCAGAGCGTGTCTCTCTGTTGTCCTCCGTCTCAATTTTGATGACTTGAATCTGTGAGGATACAAAACTCAGCTTTGGGGACCTGGAGGGCTTGAAGCTGGGAAACCCACCCCCACCCTATTGCCAGGGAGGGAAGTGGGTAACAGTAGGTGGAGGCAGGGGTGGGGTTCAGGAGTGGGCCAGGCCATCCACAACAGGGGGCAGGCAGTGGCGGATTAGGGTCTCAGTTTCCAGAGATGCTGCCATCCTTGATGTCTGGGCCACTTCCCTGATCCTAGCCCTCATCATTTCCCAACTGAGTTAGTGCAGTGGCCTCCATGCTGGTCTCCCCACCCAGCCCCCATAGTGACAGAGGGACCCTGTGAACAGCCAAATTAGATCACGTGCCTCCTATCCTCAACACGTGGCTCCAGCTCACTCTGGGTAAAAATAAAAGTCTCACAATCCCCTCTCGGTGTGTCTCTGACCTCATCCTCAGCAGCTCGCTCTCCTCCAGAGACCTCTGTCCTATCACTAACTCACCAGTGTCCTCCCTCCCCAGGGCCTTTGCACTGGCTGTTCCTTTTGCCTGGGACAACCTTCCCCAGGTCCCCACAAGGCTCCACCTCCTCCTTGAGGTCTGTACTCTTGTCACCTTCTCAGTGAGGACTTGACCAACCACCTGATTTTAAATCTCAATATGTCTACCCAAATTGCACATCCCCCTTCCCTGCCTTATTATCTCCTTAGCATTTATCATTATGTATACATTTTATTCTCTTCAGTTTGGTTTACTGTCTCCCCATTATGGACTGAATTGTGTTGTCGTCCCCCCCGCCTCCCAAAATTCATAAGTTGAAGCCCTAACCCCCAGTGTGACTGTATTTGGAGATAGGGCCTCAGAGTTAGTTAAGGTTAAATGAGATCATAAGGGTAGCGCCCTAATGTGATATACATGGTGTCCTTATAAGAAGAGGAAGAGCGCGGGCCAGTGTGGCTCAGTTGGTTGGAGCGTCACCCTGCATACCAAAAGGTTTCAGGTCCGATTCTTGTGGGGGTCCCACAGAAGGCAACAAATTGATGTTTTCTTCCTTTCTCTCTCTCTCTCTCTCTCTCTCTCTCTCTCTCTCTCTCTCTCCCCCTTCCCCTCTCTCTATTATGAATAAGCATATTCTCGGGTGAGTATTAAAGAAAGAAGAGGAAGAGACCCTAGGCACAGGCCCACTCAGAGGAAAGATCTTGTGAGGATGTAGCGAGACGCGGTCCTTGGCAAGCCAAGGAGAGAGGCTTCAGGAAACCAAAACTGCTGGCACCTTGACCTTGAACTTTGTGAGAAAATTAATTTCTGTTGTTTAAGCCCCTGGTCTGTGGCATTTTGTTACAGTGCCCCTAGCACAGTGGTCGGCAAACTCATCAGTCAACAGAGCCAAATATCAACAGGACAACGATTGAAATTTCTTTTGAGAGCCAAATTTTTTAAACTTAAACTATATAGGTAGGTACATTGTTATTAACTTAATTAGGGTACTCCTAAGGCTTAGGAAGAGCCACACTCAAGGGGCCAAAGAGCCGCAGTTTGCCAACCACGGCCCTAATAGACTAAAGTGCTCACTACCCTGTAAGAGTTCCAGGACCACGTGACGTCTATGTCCTGGGGGACCCAGAATAAGAGCAGGTTCGAGAAACTTAGGGGGGTGCTCGACACTTGCGCCCTAGACTTGAGAGCTGAGTTTGGCATTTAGGCACAACGTAGAGAATTAGGTAGCCCAATCCCTGGTTTTAGGCTCCAGCTACCAGCCACCCCACCCCACTCCCAATCCAATGGTCTCATTCCCTCATTCTGTACTGACGTCCGTACCTGTCTCCAGCTTTCACCATTTTTCTGAGCTCCATTCCCAGTATCCAGTGGATTCATAAATGCCTCCTACTAATGTCCCCTGACCCTGATGACCACCATTCTCCAAAATGACCTCAGTGTCTCTCCAAAACCTGATCTTTCTCCCTGGCCCTGTCTCAGGGTGGCTCCACTATCCTCCAGTCCTCAGGCCAGAGCCTTGGGTCTAGACCTGAACAGCTACCCATCCTTCCCATTCCCCTATGGCATGCCCAGTCCCCCCATCACACCCCTCCCCCCAGCTTCTTTCCTACCTGCCCTCCTTTTCACCTCTCTATGCCCCACCCCCAGGTCCAGCTCCAGACTCTTCCCTGGACTCCCAGCCCCCAATTTTGGTGACCACCCAATCCAGAGGGATCCTTCTAAATCTGACTACGCCTCGCCTCTTGATAAAACTCTCCAATCTCTCCCCATGTCAGACAGAATAAAATCCAAACTGCTTATCAGAGATCACCTAGGGCCTAGCCCTGGCAGCCCCTCTGATATCATCTCCTCAGTCACCTCTGGCCTCCTATTCTCTAGCCATTCTGGTCTTTCTGTACGTCCAACATGCCACCTCAGGGCCTTTGCATCTGCCGTGTCCTCTATCTGGAATGCGTTCTCCCTTCAATTTCATATGTCGTTTAGCAAAGAGCTTCTCAGAGAGCCCTTCTCTGGTCACCCAGTCTAAAATATCAGTGCCATCAACTTAATATTTTATATCTTTTACTGACTTATAATCTCTTCTGCATAGCTCTTTTTTCTTCTTTGCCTAGAACTGGTACTTTTCCCATACACCCCTTGTTTATATTTTTATAGGTTTGTTTATTGTCCATCCACAAAGGCAGAAAATCTATTTTGTTTCTGAACTGGAGCAAAATTGTCGGAATTTGAATTCCAGCTCCACTACCCAGCTGTGTGACTTTGAGCATATTACTTCACCTCTCTGGGCTTGTTTCCTCACTAGTAAGATGGAATAATAGAAACTACTTAGTTTAGGGGGTTGTTGTATGTATTAAATGCCACATGCTTAGAACAGTGACTGGAACACAGTAAAAAATATAAAAATGATCATCATAGTGATGCTGGTGGTGATAATGATTTTTCTTTTTAATCTTCACCAGAGAATATTTTTCCATTGACTTTTAGAGAGAGTGGAAGAGAGAGGGAAAGACAGAGAGAAACATCGATGTGAGAGAAACACATGGATTGGTTGCCTCCTGCATGAGCCCCTGCAGGGGAGGACCCTGCAACCGAGGTACATGGCCTTGACCAGAACTGAACCCGGAACGTGCAGGCCGACGCTCTATCCACTGAACCAAACAGGCTGGGGCAATGATTATTATTTTTATCATTATTTTATCATTATTTTCATTTTCACTCCCCTGGAACAGGGTTGCTGGAGCATATTAGAATTTGTTGGAGTGAATGAATGAATGAATGAATGGTTGAGTGGATGGGGGACACCCCCCTCAGGCCCCACCTTAGGAGGCCGGCTGGGCAGGGGACACCTGGGGATCACCTGGAAGCGCAAGATGATGGTCCAGACCAGCCCCAGCGTCAGCCGGTGGTTCCCGTCCACAATGTCATGCGAGCCCACGTTCTCCAGGTGCACGCGCTGCTCCTTCAGGAACTGCAGAGCCTTGTCCACGTTTTCCAGGGAGTGGATCCTCATGCGACCGCGCGTGGGCCGTGGCTAGGGCGGCAGGGGCGTTGGGAGAAGGAGGACCAAACCTAGAACCCTGTGCCCCGCACCACCCCTTTCAAAGACGTCAGCCCCGTAGTCACGCCTCTGGATATCCAGGCCCAGACCCACACCAACTGCGGCCTCATCAACGACCCGAGACCCAATCCTAAAGAATC